GCTGGGGCTCAGACGGCAATAGAGCACGCCACATGGCCACTGGCCCAAAGAAGTATCTGATTCTGTCAACAGGTCGATGGGAACTCAGGAGGGGTAGTTCATCCCGTCAGAAGACTCTGGACTGGAGAGTAGGGGGTGGAACTATTCCGAATGGGATCTGTGGACTGTCAGCCACTCGGTTTCTTTCCCTTGTCCTTACTCTCCCACTGGGGGGCTGAACTGGGGATTCTGCAGGGAGGAAAACCCTGAACATGAAGTGTTACTTGACTGGCAGGCAGTCTACCTGTCCTAACGTCAGTGGGGAGATTCCTGGGTCACCCTAAGCCAGGTGCTAGGTTTGCCAAAGGGAACCCTGACCTGTTCATCTCTGCGGGGTCGTCACTCATCGTTGGCCCCCCCTGCCCTTCCACGTGCAGCTCTCCCAATATCACGGAGGGAACCTGCTGAGCTTCACGGAGCACATGGAGTCGACTTCAGATGGGCTATGGGGGAACCAACTCTGATTGGATGGAATGAGATTTTTTTTCCCCTTCTTCCTCTGATCAGGCATATACTGAATATTTTTAAGCACTATGAACATGCACTGTTGATCTGCCAGTGCCTGGCGGCTCTAGAAGTGGAGGAGGGCCGTGGACGAGCTCACCTAGCACTCTTGTTCTGGGGAGCCTGGGAGGACAGATTCCATTCTGCAAGCAGGAGGCAGGGAGTTCACTCATGGTGCAGGAGACAGCAGGTTATTTACACTGTGTTTGCGACCAGGGGTCACAGAGAGGGGCCAGGAGCTGAATTCCAAGAATGGCACAGAATCCAGCTCTCTGTGAAGGAAACTCAGGGTTTGGACAACTCCCAAGGAGCAATAATTCAACCAGACTAACCCGATGAACTGTTTTTAAGTGAGTTTGGAGAAATATAGTCAAACATTGAACAGCTTCCTAGAACTGAAGCACTCGGGCAAAGGTGACCTTTTATTAGACCTTAGCAGTATGGCCGGGGAACTGGTCAGAGTGTAGGGCTCAGGTACACCATGAGGAGGGAGAGGAAGACTCAGTCTTATCCTCCCCATTGGGAAGCTGTGGAGCACAAAGCGTGCGTTTTCCACATCCTGATTTCATTCTTTCTTCGAAGCTAAAATATCAGGCAAACAAAGTCAACCCTGTGTATTGAATGCCTCCTCTATGCCTGGGGATCTGGTGGGGTTTCCCTTATCTTATCTCATGTAACCTGCTTGCAAGCCTTCAAGGAAGAAATGCTCTTTCTCCTTTTTTTCAGAAGAGTCAGGGAGTCTCTGGGAGGTTAGAGAGATCCTCAAGATCAGATGGTATTTACAAAGAAGGTGCAGATTCAAACCCAAATGGCTGATTCCACCCTGGAACTTCCTTCAACACAGACCTGTGCTTTTGAGGGATATCAGGCACCCTAGAGGGCCCAGTGATACCAGGGATGAAGGGATAAGCTGTCGCCTCCCCATCCATCTTCAAGCAGAGATGCTGAAGGAGAAGCTGTGCACTGAACGGAAGCTGGGCAGAGTGATGATCATAATCATGATAGTGACCTTCCATGAAGTTCTTGTGTCAAACATGGAGAAAATGGTCTGCAGGAGCCACAGTCCTATGAGCTGGTTAGATGACCATCTCAGTTTTTCCCTTTGGCAAAACTGAGTTTCAAACTTCAATTAAGTATCCAAACTCAAATATATAGTACTTCATGGCAGAGATCCTAAATATGTCTGACTTTCAAACCAGTGCTTTTAAAAAAAAACACTATTCAAAGTTGCTTTCCTAGGAAATGGGAGTGTGGGCGGCGGCGGCAGCAGCCATAGTGGCGATGTTCTGGCGGCTACAGCAGTGATGGTGGTGGAGACAGAGGTGGTCAAAGCACTGGTGGTGGCGGTGCAGCTGAGGATGGTGTTTGTGGTGATAATAGCAGTGGTGATGGTTGTAGAAGTGGCAGTAGGCATGGTGACAACAGCAGTGACAGTTATGGTGACCCTGCTGGTGGTGATGGAGATGGTGGTCATAGAGGTGGAGGTGGTGGTGGTGGTGGTGATGGGAGTGATGGTGGTAGTGATGGTGCTGGTGGTGGTGGTGGAGGTGATGGTGATGGAGGTGGTGGAGGTGATGGTGCTGGTGGTGGAGGGGGTGATGGTGGTGGTGGTGGGGGTGATGGTGCTGGTGGTGGTGGAGGTGATGGTGCTGGTGGTAATGGGGGTGATGGTGGTGGAGATGATGGTAGTGGTGCTGGTGGTGGTAGTGGAGGTGATGGTGGTGGTGGTGGTGGTGGTGATGGTGTTGGTGGAGGTGATACTGCTGGTGGTAATGGGGGTGATGGTGGTGGAGATGATGGTAGTGGTGCTGGTGGTGGTAGTGGAGGTGATGGTGCTGGCAGTGGTGGTAGTGATGGTGCTGGTAGTGGTAGTGGTGATGGTGATGGAGGTGATGGTGCTGGTGGTGGAGGGTGTGATGGTGATGGTGGTGGAGGTGATGATGCTGGTGGTGGAGGTGATGGTGGAGGTGATACTGCTGGTGGTGATGGGGGTGATGGTGGAGATGGGGGTGATGGTGGTGGTGGTGGGGGTGATGATGCTGGTGGTGGTGGAGGTGATGGTGCTGGTGGTAATGGGGGTGATGGTGGTGGAGATGGTGGTGGTGGTGATGTGGGTGATGGTGGTGGTGATGGTGGTGGTGGTGATGGGGGTGATGGTGGTGGTGATGGTGGTGGTGATGGGGGTGATGGTGGTGGAGATGGTGGTGGTGATGGGGGTGATGGTGGTGGAGATGGTGGTGATGTGGGTGATGGTGGTGGTGGTGGTGGTGGTGGTGGTGATGGTGGTGGAGATGGTGGTGGTGGTGATGTGGGTGATGGTGGTGGTGATGGGGGTGATGGTGGTGGTGATGATGGGGGTGATGGTGGTGGAGATGGTGGTGGTGGTGATGGGGGTGATGGTGGTGGTGATGGGGGTGATGGTGGGGGTGATGGTGGTGGAGATGGTGGTGATGTGGGTGATGGTGGTGGTGGTGGTGGTGATGGTGGTGGAGATGGTGGTGGTGGTGGTGATGTGGGTGATGGTGGTGGTGATGGTGGTGGTGGTGATGGGGGTGATGGTAGTGGTGATGGGGGTGATGGTGGTGGAGATGGTGGTGGTGGTGATGTCGGTGATGGTGGTGGTGATGGTGGTGGTGATGGGGGTGATGGTGGGGGTGATGGTGGTGGAGATGGTGGTGATGTGGGTGATGGTGGTGGTGGTGGTGGTGATGGTGGTGGAGATGGTGGTGGTGGTGGTGATGTGGGTGATGGTGGTGGTGATGGTGGTGGTGGTGATGGGGGTGATGGTGGTGGTGATGGGGGTGATAGTGGTGGAGATGGTGGTGGTGGTGATGTCGGTGATGGTGGTGGTGATGGTGGTGGTAATGGGGGTGATGGTGGTGGAGATGGGGGTGATGGTGGTGTTGGAGGTGATGGTTATGCTGTTGGTGGTGGTAGTGGTGATGGTGGTGGTGGAGGTGATGGTGGTGGAGATGGTGGTGGTGATGGGGGTGATGGTGGTGGTGATGGGGGTGATGGTGGTGGAGATGGTGGTGGTGGTGATGTCGGTGATGGTGGTGGTGATGGTGGTGGTGATGGGGGTGATGGTGGTGGTGATGGGGGTGATGGTGGTGGAGATGGTGGTGGTGGTGATGTCGGTGATGGTAGTGGTGATGGTGGTGGTGGAGGTGATGGTGGTGGAGATGGTGGTGGTGATGGGGGTGATGATGGTGGAGATGGTGGTGATGTGGGTGATGGTGGTGGTGGTGATGTCGGTGATGGTGGTGGTGGTGGTGGTGGTGATGGTGGTGGAGATGGTGGTGGTGGTGATGTGGGTGGTGGTGGTGGTGATGGTGGTGGTGGTGATGGGGGTGATGGTGGTGGTGATGGTGGTGGTGATGGGGGTGATGGTGGTGGAGATGGTGGTGGTGATGGGGGTGATGGTGGTGGAGATGGTGGTGATGTGGGTGATGGTGGTGGTGGTGGTGGTGGTGGTGGTGGTGATGGTGGTAGTGGTGATGTGGGTGATGGTGGTGGTGATGGTGGTGGTGGTGATGTGGGTGATGGTGGTGGTGATGGTGGTGGTGATGGGGGTGATGGTGGTGGAGATGGTGGTGGTGATGGGGGTGACGGTGGTGGAGATGGTGGGGGTGATGGGGGTGGTGATGGTGGTGATGACAGCCGGGGTGGTGATGGTGACGCTGGAAATGGTGGTGGAGGTGATGGGGTGACATGATGACAGTACTGATGATGGAGGGGGTGGTCACCTTGCCAGTGATAATGACGGTGAAGGGGGACTGGTCCTGATGGTGGCAGAGGCTGTGGTGGTGATGGTCACAGTATTAGTGACCACGGCGTCTCCAAGTGGTGGTAGATACGAGGGTGCTGGTGGCTGCTGTCCGTACACCCTCCTCTGGAGGCACTTCTGAGGCCTCCTCTGCAGAGTTTCTGAGAGTGAGAGGCTTTGATTTTCTGTATGCCTGCAAGTGTTACTTAGCTTTTCCTCCACAGGCTGCCCCGAACTTCTCCGCCTCTATTCGCTTCCACGCTGTGGACAAAGCCGTAGTCATCTAGGACCAGTCAGGGAGAGATGGACCCTGTGACCGCTCCCCTGAAAGTGGCCTTTGACCGCTCTGCACTGGAACACGTGAGCCTCTGCCTCGCCCCTGGCACCTGAACCAGGTGACTGCTTGCCAGGGCCCAGCCCAGTCCAAAGGGATTTGGGATTCAGTGTCCCAAAGCGGCACTGATTAGCTGGCAATCAGGCAGCGATTAGCTGGCTGGGTCACCTGCAGTTCAGTGCCCATTGTTCTCTGCAAAGTCCTAGGATGTTTGCCACGAGGTCGGAGAGTGCGAACATCTGAGGATCCCGGGGTCTGCGGCTCTGCTGTGTCAGGCGGGGATGAGGGAAAAACACAACCCTGTTCCGCTGAGCCCACCCCAGGAGGCAGTGCTGAGAAGCCCCTCTGCGTATTTACCCATGAAGCCAGCTTGAGAGCCCAGCGCTGATCCAGAGAAGCGGTCCTGAGGACACTCTGAAGAAGCAGAAGCAATGATCGCACTCTTCCTCACGCCTGACGTGGAGAACGTGTGAGCAGTGAGACTGGACAGAACTGGGCCTGGACTGGGATTCTGCTGCGGCCTTGATAGGTTACCTTGGACAAGAGACTTAACCTCTGAGCCTTGCTTGAGCTCAGTTTTTAAGAAGGTTAATAATAATGCTTGTTTATGACGATTGAGGTTTAAATGAAAAGAAAAAGTGAAGCAGTTACTGTCACCTCTAGGACAGAGAAAGCGTCCATGAGCGCTATCACCATTACTGTACTGTGCAGCAGAAATGTCATTATTTGAAATCCTTTCATCATCCCGTCTTCACAGACCACCAGGATGGGTGAGATGATTCTTGTAAAGCATTCACACAGGGCTGGACACATCCCTAGCCCCCAACATGTGACAGCACTAACAATGAGAACTGTCATTACTATTTGCTCAAAGATGGTTGCAAAAGGGTATTTTTGCAGCATGTTTCACCACACTGCAGCATATAATCATGAACTTTTAGATGGAACCTAATTTTGAACTAGAAGGGGATTAATGAAATGATTCATGGTACATTCACACCATCAAGTCCCATTTGGCCAGGTAATCCCCATGCCCTCAGATGACCTGGAGGTCTTGCTAAAATGCACATTCTCATTTGCTGGATCTGGGGTGAGGCCCACGAGCCAGCATTTCTAATGAATTCTCAACTGATTCCAGAACTAGGGTTCATGGACACTTTCATAATAAAGAGAAGTATGTGTATATGTATTTCTATACCAGTAGAGAAAAAATTCCTAGACTCCATTAAAGAAGAGTCATTTCCAAATGAAGGTCGAGTGCTTTTTTCCCCCCTTCCCTAAAATGTTCTATTTTTTCCCCCCAAAATTCAATAATGAACATGCAAAGGAAACGGTACAGAACACCACACATTTTATCGCCGTAGGATAGAGAGCCCCTCCCTTCCCCTGAATCCTGTCTCGCAGCCGGCTCTCCCAGCACACACGCCTTCCTGGTCAGAGGCCTGAGGCAGGACCTTCTCCTACAGCCACACGGGGCCAGGACCACAAGGACATAGTGTCAGTGTCCGCAGGCCCGTTGGCATCACTCTCCCAGGAACAGGGGGCCCCGCTCAGAGCCGGCAGCTGGCCAGGGCTCGGGGCCCAGAGGTGCGCCTGGTGAGAGACGGGCAGCCGTGAGCCCCGAGGATTCTGAAGGCATTTCAGGATGCACATGGAGAGGACTTTCAGTGAACCAGGCGGGGTGGTCTCCAGAGAAGCAAAGAGCTTGAGAAAGTCTATCCTGCTGGCCAGGGTGAGGAGGGCACCCCACCTTCCTCATGACTCCCCTCAAGAGAACTGGGGACGTGAGCCCCATGTCTCAGCCTCACCAACCTGTCCTTGTCACGAGAGGCTGGTCTGCGCGGGCAGAGATGCAAGTGCACAGTGAAGTGAAGTGAAATTCACTAAGTCGTGTCCGACTCTTTGCAACTCCATGGATACAGTCCATGGCATTCTCCAGGCCAGAATACTGGAGTAGGTAGCCTTTGCCTTCTCAAGGGGATCTTCCCAACTCAGGGATCGAACTGTGTCAAACTCTGACCTGGCCATTTAACAGCTAGACCGCCTTAGACTTGCACTGAGGTCGCGCGTGGGGAATGGGGTGAGCACTGCACCGCCCTGGTCTCCTCCAGTCAGGCACCCAGCAGGCCTGCAGACGATGACGCAGATAATGACACAGTTTCGGCCACCGTCCTCCTCATCTCAAAGCTTCCCTTGGCGCTCACTTGGGCAGCACATATACTCAAAGCTCCCCTTGTACTTGCCTAGAAGAACCACCCGCCTCCAACCACTGGGAAGTCCCTTGTCCTGGCCCCCACCAGCCCTGCAGTCGGAGGAGCAGACGCGTGCTCGAACTGGGTAACAGAAGGCGGAGGGACTTGTCACTGAGATGTGGGGCCCCAGGGTTGGCCACAGAGGCAGGAACGGGGGCTGAGAAGGAGCCTTAACCCCCAACTTGAAGGGCCAAGGGGAGGGGCAGCACAAGGACCCCGAGAAGGCAGCTGTGAGGAGAGGGATGCCCGAGAGGGGCTCTGGTCTTTATCAGGGGAGCAGCCACCTCACCAAGAAAGTGGTGGCCAGCGAATAAAGAGCCCGCTCCCTCTCTCGACCTGCAGACACGCTGCTTATGATTCTACCAAGACTGCGGCGTCCCCCTGACTTCCCCTTGGTACCTCCTGATCGTGCTGGGTGGCTTTCTTATGTGAGCTGGTGCAGGTTTGAGAGATGAAGGCTACCATTCCAAAGAGAATTGTTGTTGCTGTTGTTCAGTCGCTTAGCCGTGTCTGACTCTTTGCAACCCCATAGACTACAGCACGCCAGGCTCCTCTGTCTTTGCCATCTCCCAGAGTTTGCTCAAACTCATGTCCATTGAGTCAGTGATGCCATCCAACCATCTCATCCTCTGTCGTCCCCTTCTCCTCCCACTTTCAATCTTTCCCAGCATCAGGGTCTTTCCAATGAGTCAGCTCTTTGCGTCAGGTGGCCAAAGTATTGGAGCTTCAGCATCAGTCCTACTAATGGATGTGCTGTGCAAGTCGCTTCAGTCATGTCCAACTCTGTGCGACCCCATGGACTGTAGCCCACTAGGCTCCTCTGTCCATGGGATTCTCCAGGCAAGAATACTGGAGTGGCTTACCATGCCCTCCTCAGGGGATCTTCCCAACCCAGGAATCGAACCTGGGTCTCCTGCATTGCAGGCGGATTCTTTACCACTGGGCCACCAGGGAAGCCCTACTAATGAATGTTCAGGGTTGATTTCCTTTAGGATTGACTGGTTTGATCTCCCTGCTGACTAAGGGACTCTCAAGAGTCCTCCAGGACCACATTTCAAAAACATCAATTTTTAGTGCTCAGCCTTTTTTATGGTCCAGCTCTCACATTCATACATGGCTACTGAAAAAACCATAGCTTTGAGTCATTTAAAGACTCCATCAAATTAGCATTCTAAAGTGCCAACTTGCTTGTAATCACTGACATCAAAATGTGGTCACAACTGTTAATGCCAAAGGGCCATCCAGGTAATCCAGAACAGGCTCTTATCTATTTTACTTCATGGATCACGTTTGGAATGAAAACACAGTGTTTGAGAATGCTAGCAGGGAAGGTGGTTTCCCTGGCCACACCTGGGACATGGCCCCTGGCAGAGGCACTTTCAGTCTCAGCTGCTTGGGGGAGATGGGTGTGGTCTCTCCCGTTTTCTTATATGAGGACCTGGAGGCTCAGGGCATTTAGCCACTCACCCAGGTCTACCCACCTAGCAGGTGGCAGAGTGAGGCTCAGACCTCGGGGCTGTGTGTGTATCTCTACATTCAGTCCTGTGATTAGACTGGGCTAATCTCAGAACATCACTGAGGGGTCAATACTATGTACATATTACAGATGAGGGATGCGGGGTGGTGGGTGCTGGAGAGATACAAGGTGAAAGGGGAACAAAATGTGCTTGGCCAGAGATGGCAGTGTAGACACAGCCATGGGGCTCCAGGGTGCGGTGGTGGTTAGTTTGGGGCCAGAGAGGAGCCGGGAAGTCATGGACAAGGCACCATCCCTGGGGCCCCAGGTGAGGCCACTCCAGGAGCCTCCACAGTTGGCGGAGAGGTAACCAATCCATGAAGGGCTGAGGGGCACGAAGAGAAAGTTCTAGATTGCTCCTCGTTGTCCGACCATCACTCCTAGTTCTAAGCATCTGCTGTTTCCTGCTTTGACTCTGAAGCTGGAGGTCCCTCCCCAGACCCTTTTGTGTCTTCAAAGAATCATGGGAAGAGTGGCCCTCAGCTCACATCCACAAAGCTGGGGCCCTCTCTGCCTCCAGGGCTGGAAAGAGTGTCGTCAGCCAGTGCCAACAGTGAGCATCGTCCTCACTGTGGAAAAGCCGAAGGAAGGTGCTGCCTGGCCCTCCAAGTCCAAATGTTGAGAATTCAGGAGGCTAAGAGATCCAGGTAAGATGGGATAAATGGGCAGATGGGATAAACACTTCGATCCAACACTCAACACAACTTTTGCAGGGCTTGCATTTCCTGAAAATACAAATTAATCTGCTGATTAAAAAAAAAAATCCCCTTCCTGTGGCAAAGTTAATTTTCTATTATTTTGGGGAGGACAAAGTGAGTCATGTGAAATTTCAGGAATATCACACACACACACATGCACACACACAGCAGGTAAAGCCATAACAAAAGTCCTTTTTGCTTTCCCTATATCTCGAGGACAATGAAGCCATTCAATCAGTGCCCAGAAGGATAATTATCTTTTTGGACACATGACCTCACAGTCCCATTCTATTAAGCACACAAAATCTGAAAATGAGTGGTATTAGTGATTCTATTGAAATGGATACAAGGGAACTGAAACAAAATAAAGCCAGCTTTAGTTGAGTAATCCCCAAAGGAATAAGTGCTAAGAGGATGGTGACTTAGGACACTTAGGAAGGAAAAGTTCAGGGAAATGACCTAGTAGATGCTTGCAGGGTTTTACTCACTAGATGCCTGACCTTCTCGGCTTCGGGTCACATGGACTTTGGAGGAAGTGACTGTGGGTGGGGGTTGACTCTGGTGAGGGTAACAACGTGACGATCAACGATTCCATGTAAATGACTGGATCCCCAACTGCCCCTCAGTTATTGCTGCTTTTTTTCTTTTTTAAATTAGGATCCTAAAATAGCCAGTGGAGTCAGTCCACAGAAGGGTTAGCTGCAGAAACTTCTAGTAGTTTCGCCTTCATCCTCGGGGCGCTCTCATCCAGGTTTGTGGACCCTCCTTTCTCTGGACACGTGGGTGTGAGCCACACCAGGCTGAGGTGTGCTGGGAGGTGTGTGACTGTGCGGCGCTGCTCTCACAAACTGGATCTGCTGAAAGAGACCCGCTGGCGCTCGGGACACAGCGCGGGCAGCTAGCAGGCCCCCAGCACAGGGTCTGCTTCCTGCCTTTCTGGAATACTTTCTTTACAGAGAAGGGGCTGAGCTACCTGCTGTTAATAGG